TGCTCTCTGGTCTTGAAAATAAGTCTGGCTTGGCATAGGTTCAGTGTGGAATGGGTGACGGCGGAGGTGTTGGTTGACCAGAAAGAGGAGGTCCAAAGAGCCGTTGAGGGATTGAAAATCGGGCTGAGTGCTAATCGAAGGTTGGAGCCAGCTCGGAGGGCGCTGTGGGAGGTAGTGTTCTGTGTCGGCAGGGTTGCTATGAGGGCGAGCGCGAGGATTGGCCATGACAATTGATGGAATAAAATGGCGTACAAAAGGCTGCGGAGCTGAAGTGAGCCTGAAAACTGACAAATCGAAGTTGGGCAACCTGGTGAAAGTAGATTGGATGTGAAAAACCAAATGGCAGTACGGGTCAGTGGATTTGTCCTGCGGCACGCCGTAAAGAAAGGTGGGTGAAACGGGTCAAATGAAATAACTGACCACGGGCGTAAGTGGAGATTTCTCCGGATGACTGTCTTCACTAAGGTCCCGCTCAGCAGCCGGCGGCAGCAGCACAGCAGCAGGAGTCGTTGGATGTTGTGAAGTCGGTGGCGTTGTTATGGGGGAAGGGGAGAAATCCGGTTGTGAATGTGGTGCTGGGGAAACTGCTGGTGATGTGGGTGTTGGTGAGGGGGAAGGTGCTTGTCTTGGTGGTGCGGTTGGTAGTGGTGTGGAGAAGAGTTGCTGGTCCTGCTGACGTTGCATGTCTTTGAGTTCTTGCCATCGGGCTTGGCATTGCTCAACGGAGAAGCCCACTCGGCGAGCCACAGTGGTCCAGTTGGGACGAAGTTTGGGGTTTTCTTTGAGTTCGACCAGGCGACAGTCAGCGTCGCCGTCCCAAGCATCCCAGTCCGCCTGTCGGTTCAGTGGTGGTGGGGGTGGTTGCTTCCGCTTGCGTGTGGTGGTGGGTTGTGGATCTGGGGGTGTTGTTGGAGTGTCGTCTGAGTCTTTTGAGGGTGGTGCTGGTAAACGGTTGGGTGGTCTGGATGGTGCTGAGTCACAGGATGAGGTGGTAGATGGTAAACGTATAGGGTGGTTGGGCGGAGTTGGAAGTGGCTGAAAGTGTTGGCGGAAAGTGGGGTCTGCTTGGTGGCAGTGGTGGAGGAAAACAGTGTGGAGGTGTGCTACAATATCTGTTGCTTGTCGGAGCAGGTTTTGCACCTGCGAAAGTGCCACTGCGGTTCTGTGTATGAGAGTTGAGGTGTCGTTTTGTAGAGGTGTCGGTGTGCTGCTCATGATTCTGAGATGTAGGGGTGTACAGTAGCTAAGAATCGTCACAGGTTGATGCGGCAGCGCGCCAAAGCAGCCGGACAGCGGCGAGTCTGAGGGAGCGCGTCATCACGAGGCCGTGCATATGAATTAAACGAGCATCAAATTCCCACAGGCAAAAGAGCGAATATGCAATGCCGGTTGGACAATCAAATACATGAGAATCTGACATGTGAAATACTCCATCAAAACAGCCGGTACAATTCGAAGAAAGATGTTTACAGCAAACACTGCAGAGCTTGAAAAATTGAGGGTTCAAAATTCGCGTGGCCGCTGCAGGAGGCTCTTTTTTGCTGCTACAGCAAAGGTTGGGTGGTGGGGTGAGACCAAAAGTGGATGTGGAGGTGGTAGTGGTGTGTAGATGTGTGGTAGTGGTGTTATGGGTCCGGTGGAGTGGAGTTGGTGGACCAGGCCAGTCCTTTGACAATGGCGTGGTCCGGGTGGATCACCCAGCAGCGGCCCTTCTGATGAAAGACTGCACCATGGTGGTCGTTAAGGAGGTTCATGGCGTGTTCCTCACCTCCAGAGGTATATTTTGTGGCAGCACCCCAAGCAAGGAGTGTGATGATAAGGGAATGGGAATTCTTGTGGAGTTGCCAGGTGTTGTGGATGATGCGGGCAAGTTCGTTGTGGTCATGGGGTTGGTTGTGGGTGATGCGAACGCCCTGGGCAAAAAATCCAGGGTAGTTGGCAAAGTGGAGTGTGCTGGGTAAAAATCGGCCTTGGCGTAGAATGTTGGAAATGTTGCCGACGGGGCCTGTGTGGCCTGCGTTGATGTGGGCGACTTCCCGGTGGGTTGATGTGGCGCTGGAAACCGCAGGTGGCTCTGGTGTAGTGGCTTTGGTGTTGAGGAAGGGAAGTGAAATGGCGTAGTACTGGAATTGGTCGTATTGGTGAGTTGTGTCGTTCCACTTGGCGTGGGTATATTGTCGGAAATCGGTGATCTCCTTGTAGGTGATGTTGCAGTCTGTGAGGATATTGGCAATGTACTGGTGTTGTGGTCGGTTGGGATTGTCGAGTTGGGTGGCGTGGAATTCGAGCCATTCCAGGATTTGGTCTGCAGGTGTAAAGGTGTGAAAGTTGGGTGGAGGTCGCCAACGGTTGATTGGGCGACGGAGGACGGCTGTGGTGGGAAATTGAGAGGGGTCTGGGTTGGAGTGTTCGGTGTTAGGGCGTAGATCAATGGGTTGTGGTGGCGAGCGACTGCGGGATGGCGTAAGGCTGGATGTGTAAGTGGATGTTGAAGGCGACCGCCGTCGCCGGGTTGTGCTGTGATGTTTGGAGTGGCGGTGATGGTGATGTCGGCGGCGGTGGCGGTGGCGTCCTCTGTGGTGATGGTCGGACTTGCGTCGGCTCTTGTGGTGGTGGCGGCGACTGCTGTGTGGTGGTTGCGGGGAAGGTGGTTGCGGTGCTGGTGAGGCAGTGGTGTCAGGTTTGTCTGGTGCTGGTAGTGAAGATCCAGGCGCTGGTGTGGCAGATACCAGCGATGGGGATGCTGAATGTTGGGATACGGTAGCTGGTGGGGGCGTGTTTTGGACTGGTAATGGATTGTCCTGGGCAGTCGTAGGGATGGATTGGATTGGTGGTGTTGGATCCGATGGTGGCTGCTGTTGAAGTGGAGGTTGGGCTGGTGTTGAGGCGTTGATGGTTTGTGGAGGCGGTGGCGGGGGCAACGGTTGGAGTGGAGGCTGTGTGACGGGGGGAAAGGCTGAATAGGGTTGCCAAACGCCCTGGGGGATGGCGCATTGGGGGTCTGTGGATGGATGATTGGCAATCGCAGTCTGTTGCTGTGTTGGAAGGGGATGTGTCAGTGTAGTGGGGGGAGGGAGTTCAGCCGGTGGTGTGGGATGATGTGGTGGCAACAGGTAGGAAGGGGGAGGTGCTGCTGTCGGAAATACTGGAGTTGGATGTGTGGGCTGCGGTGGCACGTGACATGGTTGGACAAAAGTCCAAGTGGATGGTGTGCCGTAGGTCAGTGCAGTGGCGGTAGGGTTGGACAAAAACGGTGGTGGTTGAAATGGTTGTGGTTGTGGGTGAGGGTATGCCGATGGTTGTGTCGGGGGAAAAGTGGGTGCAGTTGATGGTTGTGGCATCGGCCATGTGGGTTGAGGTTGTGTGGTAGGTAATGGTGGTGGCGTGGTGTGAGCGTAGGGCCACGGAAAATGCATGTCGTGATCGTAGCTATGGCGCGGCGCGGCGCGGTAGCAAAAAGCAGCGGGGAAGTGCCGAGTTGTATTGTCTTGTTGTTGTTGAAGGTGTCATCTCTGGTGTCAATGGTGAGTATGTTGTAAGGTGGTGCTAGATGTGAGCTTGTTGGTAGGTGTGTGTTCATGCATCTCGAATTAAGCTGAAGAGCTGTAATGCCCATCCTTGAGTTCTGTCGAGGAAAGAATCGCGGCAGCAAC